AAATGGCACGTTGATCTGCTATGCTCTCTCTTCTCGACTTCTCTACGCTCTCCGCGCTCACATTATCTCTCATCTCCCTGCCGGCCTTTTGAACTTCTCCGCAGCGTAGAGCAAAAGGCTCGTATTTCCTGTGTATTTCACGATTTTTTTTCTTTTTCTCCACTGGCGGTCCACTACCTACCCCTACTTTCACATTTGAGTGGAATTACTCATAATTCAATCCTGAATCTTGCCTTTAAGTGAAATGTCCGTCATAAGCCACCCAATGGGACTACCCGAAAGCGGTTTCCACGTTACACAGAAGCATTAGACAAAGCGCATAATTATGAAGCCGTTGTCTGTACCTATTGTTAGCCAGAATCACAACTATCAAAAGTAAGCGAAAGAAGGTGTCAAAAATCGTGCATATGTGTATCTTTTCCCGCGAACCTTAGCGGGCAGTATTTGTAGAGTTCCAGCTTTATTAGGATTTTCTACACCTTACAGGATATCTACTATTCAAAATAATGGCAAGGCTCTAGCGAATTCTGAGCTAAGCACTGAAAGTGTAGCTACTGCATAATGAATTCAATAAATTGCGCAGTTTTCAAAGGCATTGAAAGGTAATCTATTTATTTACCGATAAAGTCAATGCGCTCAATGGAGGCTTTTTCTGAATTTCGGCAGCGAAACTAGCGTATGTTGCTATCTTAAGAGAAACTCAATCGGCACGCAAAATGTTTTACTAAGATTTATAGGATCTGATAGCTTGTAAGGAAGAAATGGAGAAATGTAATAATAAGGAAGCTATTGTATTTGAATCAATTTACGTACCTGATCATACTCATTGGAGGCCACCATGAATAGTATACTAGTGATATCAGTGAAACACTGGAACCATTTCTGTCGCTGAGATCTTTGGCCACCAACGTCGATAAACCTGAAGGGCTGTTGGAATAGTGAGCCGCGTTTAAACTCCTGATTAGAACTTTAAACTCCTGACTCCTGATCTACATACAGCCTTTCATGCTCTGGGACACTCACACATCATGGCAGAGGGCGCCCTCAAGGGTGAATAACCGCTGATGGATGCACAGAGCGAAAGCGTGACGCCTAGGGCGCTAACTCGATGTTCTTGCATGCGAAAGGAGCTGAATTTCAATTTCTATTAAAGCTGAGATAGCGCTGAACACATCCAAAGTGGATTCCGGTATCTCAGCAGTACACTTTTGACAGTACTTTTTTGAGGAACGAACAAACCGGCCGACCCTCCCATAATGTGGGCGCGGAAAAGGCCGTAACGGAGGTCACAAATGCAGCTCTATGCGCCTTCGGTAGAACAAGGTTATGAAATTTTCATAGTAAGACATCCAGCTATCTTTTGGAAATGGTGATTCTTCCATCATGGATCGGACTGATACTTAGGGAGGATGTTACGATCAATTGGCTGTGGGAAGAGGGCAAGCATGTTTACTAAAAAAGCACGGCAGGCTCCCAAGGAAGCAAGTCGGTACATGTATCGCGGTGAAGGGGGAGCTATGGGCAGGTAACTGATCTTAACGCTGGTAAGCGATACCTGCCGCGGGTCAACCCGTCTCCCAGGCAGGGTCAGTCCTATCGTTGTTACTTTTCAAAATTTTTTACGACCCCCCTCCCCCAAGGTGGATTTGATACGACCCCCTTTTCCATAGTATTAATTCTGGTACCACTCAACCCACCAAACTCCGCCCACTTTTTCCTCCAAAAATGCCGTCGAGCGGGGGGGGGGTATATACGCGCGCTGAAACGGCGAATTTTTCTCCGCGTGCGCTCCCAACTCACCTAGCCTACTACTCGTGAAAACTCCACTTTCACCACAAACTCACATGTAATTTCACGCGACTGAAGCGGATACGACCCCCCCCTCCTATGAACTCAATATAAACTCAACCAAGTACGCTCCCCCCGTTGTTACTAGTAACAACGTAGGATTGACCCTGCTCCCAGGACTCATACGCCGATTAGTTGAATGTGGAGCTAGGTGAGCAAATAAGATTTTGGAGTGTCCCTGAGTTCATTCCGAACAATGCAGAAGGGGTTCGTAGACTCGATTGAAGAAATATGGTTGAAAATTTGGATAATAATTCTTTGATGTTTTTTTTTGTTAAAATTTGGGGAAAGGTAAAGAAGCGGAAAGGGAGAAAAGCTTGTGCTCGATCCAACAAATTATCAGTCAAACAAAAAATAACTACTAGAACCTGAAAATGATACCACCCTTCCAACCACATTTCCGTCGCTTCAACCCATCGCGATACTAAAGAAGAGCTCATTTTGCAAATTTGTACGTCGGAACCATAAACGCCCCCCCCCCCCGCCACAGCACACATTGTTGGCAATTATGTTTATGTATTTTTGATGCAGTACCGGTCCCAGCAAAAAGCTGTTACCACCCATGATTCTTCAAGAGTTGAAAGTGAAATAAAGGATTCCATGAAAGCAGACCTGAATGGGATTTTGTTGATTTCGAAAGTGTGTTCGCAAATCCCTCGTGTCGCCTTTCTGCAGTAAAGTATGTCCTTGTTCGTGGGCAAGAAGTTTGGCATTGAAATTCGATTGATATGGTCAAAAAAATACTGGCAGGAATCGCTCTGAAACGATTGATGGAATAAGGTCGTTCATTCAACACATGGAAGAGAATAACTTACAATTTGGAATAGGTTACGTTTCTCGTATGTCTGTTTGACGGCAGCGTCTTCCCAAAAGTCTTCGATGATTGAGGAGATGTCTACAAACGTCGTGAAGTCGATTCCTTTAAGAAGATCGGCCACGGTGAATCTGAGGTGAAAAATTCATGAGAATTGAAATTTTCAAAGAAGGGAAACAAAGGAAAAAGGAATCAAGGTCAAGGGTTCGACATGTGGCCTCTTCCTTATACCAATGGACCTTGTGGTTCGGGAAGGAGTGCAGGGTCACTGTTAGAGGTCTAAGGTGTTCTCATTTCCCCTCCTATTCCATATCATTTGAGCTTTACAGCCCCACTGTCGAACTTCAGTTCGAGAACAGAAAGTAGGTAGGAAATTCTTTCGTGGGAGCCGTTCCTTGAGCAAATGCAACAATCATTTGACGCAAAAATATAGGGTTATAACAAAGTAAGTGCGCTTTCTATGGTGCCTTCCATTATCGCAGGAAAAGAGCGTACAAGCACGTGTTCCCAATTTTATTCATTACAGGATTTATGAAGTGGTCTTTCTGTCACTTCATGGAGAGTTCGAGCTGTAAACGGATTTTTTTCTATTTCGAAGCACTAAAATGGTCGAGGCAAAAATGCATTTCCACTTTATCCTCCCTCAGAATTAAAAAAAAATTCTTAAAGTTTTTCAAGCCGGGGATGAGAAGGAGAAAGACCATGCAAGCAACATTCATCACAGCAACATAATCAATGCATGGATGCAGCTCAACAGCAAAAGAGGGCTTTGAATTCTGACCCACACTCCAGCTTTGGCGTGTCAGCTATCAAATAGCAAGAAGCTAATCGGAGCAAATCCGCAGGAACTTGTTCCGACCTAATAATTGACACAGGTATTTGCATAAAATGTGTTACTTTTGAAAGATTGATGGCGGGGCAAAACCCTCAAGAACGCTGAAACTACGAGCCTCCTTTTGATAGATGTACTTGCCTTCAACCATACGAATACAGACAAGGTAAGTAGGAAAGAGTCGTGAGAAAAGATACGGAGACGAGCTTGCAGCTAGAGAGGGAGCAGATGAACACTCTAATTTAATACCTTTCAAAAACGAGAAGAGTGTCGGGTGCAGACCATACACCACAAGTGACGACGGCCTCCACAAAATGTAAATGTTTTCTGCCAATGAAATGATTAGCCTGTTGCAGTTGTATTCTATCAGTTGTCACTAATTACAACTATCATTTACCAAAATCAGCTATCACTATGAACCACTACTAACCAGATTTACTTGGAGGCCGTCGTCACTTGTGGTGTATGGTCTGCACCCGACGCTCTTCTCGTTTTTTGAAAGGAGGGTACGTACTGCCCCCTTCAAAAAGCGAGAAAGTGTCGGGTGCAGACCAAACACCACAACTGACGACGGCCTCCAAGTAAATCTGGTTAGTAGTGGTTCATAGTGATAGCTGATTTTGGTAAATGATAGTTGTAATTAGAATACAACTGTAACAGGTTAATCATTTCATTGGCAAAAAACATTTGCATTTTGTGGAGGCCGTCGTCACTTGTGGTGTATGGTCTGCACCCGACACTTTCTGGCTTTTTGAAGGGGAGGGTACTTTCGCATCAATGGCGCCCATTTCACCGTTCTGAGTCAAGGAATTCGCAGTGTTGCTATTAGAGTCAACCACCTATTTCATGAAAAGGAGCAATCCATGGACTTTAAAAGAATTCGGTGCCCAATTTCAACCTTCACACTACTAATTCTTGAGCGATAGACGGTTGAAACGAGAAAGTCGTACCTCATAATTTCTGGAACATTCTTCTCCCTTTCCGGCTTTTCCCATGGTATATTTAGCTTGCTCCTTGCATCCAACAAGACCCTCATAGCGGAGATAACGTTCTAGAAGTATCAATGCTTACTAAAAGTTGAGACAACAAGATTAAATTGTTTAAGGTCTCTCGTAATGATTCAAAAGAGTTAGTAGGTCCTCTAAAGATAAGAGCAGGCCCTATGCGAAATTTCACGGTTTTTTTTAGCATGAATTCTCAACACGTCTCCATCTCCTTCAGAAAGAGCGATTCAAGTGGATACTGGTCGGCATATAGTCCAAACTGGGGTAGAGCAAGCATCTGCTGTTCTTCAGGAAACATTCTCCGAAATTTCGGCTTCATAGAGCTCTGAACCATCGATATTTCAGACCGACCTGATAGATTTGCTGTCGATATGCTCGCACTTCATCAGCTGTAAATTCTCCAGCTCCATGTATAATGTTCATTTGCTTGATGAAGGTGGATTTGCCGGATTCCCCAGAGCCTAACAGGAGGATTTTCACCTGAAATAAACCATTCTACTTTGCTTTTCAATTTATGCCCCTCTGATTTGAGAAAAAAAAACTCCTTAAAACATCCGACACTAAATAAGAAGAGGTGAAGTATCCTGCTGAATACTCGTATCTCTATTTTATTCCATTGATTTTGTTCCATTATTTAAAGGCAAGCTTCGAAATAAAATTGATGTGTGAGCGCGTCCAATAATGAAACTGGGGCGCGGGAGTTTTCAGGAAAACAGAAAGAAAGTAAAAACCCCTAATTGCGCCCCAAGTCCCCTCCCTTATCTTGGGATGGATAAGGGGTACCCCCAGGAGGCCCGTCGCGCGGCAAGAAGGCAGAGTCGGCGGACGAGTTGCAGCGCGTGATGTGCGATGTAGGACGTGCAATGGGACACTCTATTTAACTTGACGCGAAATCCCTACAGTGCGCGCGGGACTCCTGGGGGGTATCCCATGGATAAGGGAAGTGTTTTGATAATCTAATTATACTATAAACTTTTTTTTACACGAAAGGTTGAATTGGTCGACTGAAGCACGGCTTCTTCACCGTGCTCTTACTAGAGAGCTTGAGTTCAAGCTAATAGTTCGTCCTTTTACTAGGTTCAATAATGAAGTTAGTTGTTTCGCGCTTCCGCTGAGTTGTGAAGCATACTAAAAATCCATGCTCAGTAGATCAGCACATTTAAAGAAGACTAAATAATTTCACAGTTGCGGCTTCAGTACTTATTACATCTTCAGTCATATATTTAGATGACTTTTCCTAGAAAGTGACGTGTTCTTCTTCTTCTTCGTACTGTTTTTTTATTGTTTCATTGCAAACTTTGCGCTGTGCCATAACCATGACCGTTGTCCTCTTCGTCCATGCAGAAGTCGTGTACCAATGTACATTCTCAATTATACATTAGCGATCAAACTGCTGATACAGTTTTCAGCACATTATATTCTCTTCGCTAATCCGTTTTGAGTAGTGATATGTGTAGTACATGGGTCTTTTAGTCCTTTTAAATCTTCGAAACTCTTCGAAACGCATGTTCCGCGGTCGAGTAGAAAAGGGCTATGGCGTTTAGAAATAAAAGTGGATGGAAATTGGTCCAGGAGTGGTAAAAAAAAAGGCAGTAAGGATTGCTACCCCTTGAAAATGCGTGCTACTTGGGTCAGAGTTTACGGTTCACCTCCATAACGGGCTTGTTTGTTAGCGGTTTCTATGAGATGCTAAATCACCGCGCTATGTGATCCAGATAGTGGTACAGTAAAGTTCATAACTAATACAGCAAAGAGGTGGGCAAATCAACGGAATTCCTGTGGAAGGGGGTGCGTAAACCCCAACTAAACTTGGCGCTATATGAGATTTTTTAGAGTTTTGTAGCTTTTTTCCTTCGTTTCGTTTCACTAATCACCACAACTACATACTTCGATCTCGTACCCAATAACCTACTCCTATTCGATCATGGAATGGATTGAAGGATTTGAAATATTTTCAAAATATAAGATCAAGAAAAAGTACACGGTTAAATTTTTTTAGAGCATGAAGAAAAAATGCTTGAAAAACCATGTGGCGATTACTTCTGGTAATTACCGTGTATACCACTGTATTCGGTCAGTTATTCGATGTGAATAGCAGCGAAAATTTTTCCAACTTTATTTAGTTGTTTACTGTAAGTTCCAGGCACTCGAAGGTGCTCCACGAGCTACGAAGAAATGTAAAAAAAAAGCATCAAAGCAGAGTTAGAGAAGAAAGCATGTCGAGTGGCACCCCTTCAGAGACACAACACAGGCTCTAGAAAAAAATTGTAGCGATAAATACTACGACTTAAATATTAAAATACTTTGGACACGCTATTTGTCACCACTTTCCTTCCGCCATAAACAAATTAATGAGAGCTCTGTCCTTTGAAATATTTGCAAGCGTTTGTGTAATCTCAAATGGAAGGCGAATGCGTTGCGTATTCCGTGAAAATTTTAATGCTACCTCTATTCATCTACCAATTGCCTGACTAGCGAAGTATTCCTGAAGTTCTGAACTGGTTTCACTCCCTCATACTTGCACTGGTATTCATGGTACAGTGTCAACAAAAAATATGTGAAATCAAAATCGATTTTTATCTTTTTTTTTCGGTGACACTGTACCATGAATACCAACGCAAGTATAGGGGAGTGAAACCAGTTCAAATGCCATTAGATGAGATCGGCACGCAATACAAGAAGAAATTAGCCTATCATGGTAAAAAAAATCACCTGTCGTCGAAGAATTTTTCTTTCATTGTGAAGCTGGCGTTCTATTGCTTTCGTTTGCTCATCCTGCCTTCTAGAACAGCAAAATACCATTCTCAGGATCCTGAAAGCATAGCAGTTTGAGAAAGTATTTTTTTTTGAAAAAGTACAAAAAGGACGATAAACATAAAAGACCCCCAAAGGAGTTTCGGGTTACTTCCAAGTGGGTCAGCTGTTTGTAAATTGGCCAAACTCTCTACATCCTACAACTCATTCAAATTGATTTCTTTGTCGGTCTTCTCGACTACTGTTGGGTGTTTCGCGATAATAAGATTTCCTCTCAGCAACTCTCATATCCTCCCTTCATGTTAAAGCCAGCGATTACGATAGATTCGAGAAGGGTTCAAAGACACGAGTGGCGAAAAAAGCTGAGAAATCCGTCAAAAAACGCAAAACGGGACCCCCTTTTTGGCCGTTGGTTTTCACTCATGAACAGGTAACAGCTCAGAAAGCGGACGTATGAACGAGTTCACCGCAACGCGTTTGGTGGCACATGCCAAACCACGCTCCAATCGAGTTGCTCCAGTTGTGCCGCTGCTGGCAACGCAGCTCGTCCAAATCACCAACTAAACTAGTGGGCGGATCGCTTTTGGGGCGGAGTGCTTCAGCAACCAGCGCACCTTTCGTCGTGAAAGCCACACTTCGCTTCCTTGGCAGCCAAGTAACTGCTTCGTGTGGTGCATATGCTTCCCCGATGCGCTTCCTCTTTATCGTAATCGCTGCCTTTAGTGAACCATAGAAAAGGAAGCCTTAATTTCAATCTCCTCGTCCTCTATTATTCATCGAAAATCCAGATCTACAATTCGTTTTCGTCGCCGCAACTACATTTACCTGCGGTTCTGGGCCGCGAGACACATGTATATAGACAAATTCGAAGCATGAAAAATGGTATTATGGTGTGGAATACATGGTCCAGCACGAGATTTAGCTGGCTTATTCGTCATTATGGGCAATACGCAGTACTTATTGGACTTAGAAGGCCGTGCAAGGTCGTGCTACCACCGGGAAGTACCGCCCATCCACGTACACCAAGCGTGGAAGAAGGATAGGGAGGTAAACAGGGTGAGGGAAGTTAGTCCTGGTATAAGAAGTAAACTACAGGACCAGTAGCAGAAGTATGGGCACCAAACTGGTTCCATGTAATTAATCAACACGTAAAGCTTGCAAATAGAAGATTCAATTCAGTGGTTGCCCTCCTTTAGCTGTGCAGCCCGACGAGCTACCACATGATTCTAAGATATAAACTCTTTAAGTTCTTTGCCAAGATTCTTAGACGTTCTACTTGTTAAGATGCGCCCCTCCCAAGCTGCTCGCTGTCAACATAAGTTGAAACTCGTTGAGTAAATAAGAAAATAAAGGAATTCTGTAAACAGATATATGGAAAGATTATATTTGGTATTCGTAAATACATCATTTTTAAGCCAGTTACGAGGAGCGTAAGAAAAGTGTCAAAAAATCTAACACGTTGACGACAGGCTGACGCGCATGCGCGTCAGAACTATGTCATTCATTTTTATTGTGCTTGCGCTCCTTCTTCTCGAGTTTTTTGTATTCATTCTATAGATAATACATTAGCATAACTATAAACCACATGGCAGCCAGAGTGGTCAAATATCCCTTGATTTAGCAAAGATTTTCTGAACGCACAAAACTTTCATTTCAATTCTTTCCTAGTATTCCTTTCACTGTCGTAAACATTCATATGAAAGATTGTAGAAGCAGTTAATACAAAACTCTGTGAGTTTCAAGATATTTGTATTTGATGGAAAACTTAGGTATAAATGCTTTTACTTCATTCGCAGCGAAAGTGATTTTTTTGCTTCTTCGTGATCATTATGGGTTCTTCTAAACAAACTTCTACTGGTATTTATATAGGTGACCTCTACGCTTTCATCCTTGCCGAAATAATTTGAGATTCAAGTTGTTGTGCATTTTAAACAGAAAATAAGCGTAAGTAAGGTGAGGACGGCGCGCTCGCAAAATCGCTCCTGTCCCACGCGGTGCAAAATGCCAAAACATGCGATGTCGTCAACGTGTAAATACACAACAGCTTATTGTAGGGCCGTACTGTAACAATTGCTCGAGAAGGAATGGCTGAGATCTTCTGTCTAACTTAATTAGTACAAAAGTCGTCTGTATAAAGCACATTCCTGATATTGAAGCACGTTTACCAACGCAAAGTAAATAAATGAACAAAGGAGTTAACTAAAAAATATGAGGCATCGGCTCTAGTCGTCTGGTAAAACACCAGGAAGCGAACTGGTGTATTTTTGATTTTGAAAGGAGCATCTCCTAGCGTTCAGGTCACTAGAGCATTTCAAGTGTTCGGCTTATGTGCCTGGTGTATGGATTGCTCCGAGCTGTAGCAGTTTCGAGCACTCTTGGTACGTCTTCTTAACAAGCTTGCTATAGGAAAAGAGACGCCATGTTTCAGCGATCTCGGGCGTTTTTTTTGCGATTTCGTGCAACAACGAATGTTTCTGCGAGAGGTTATGAATTCTTTGCCATTCTTGATCGCGTTCCACACGTGCAATGGAACCTAGAAGAAATTTCCATCGGCTCATAAATTTTCTGACGTTCACAGGAAGGAAAAAACAAACATCGTTAGAGTTAGAATGACACTCTCGTTCTCAGAACAAAAATGAATATTTCGCCTACAGAAATTGACCCTACCATGGAGAAAAACTAATATCGATGATACAATCTATACCAGCGTTGGAATCTGTAGGGCAGACTTAACCGCCGGACACAGAATGCACTCACTTACTGGCGACTGCGGCTCAATGCTGCGCGGTATCAAAAAAAGTTTTAGGCAGATTCAAATTTCCTACGATAATATTGGAATTAAGAAGTAATTAAAATAATAACATTACATTTGCTCACACTATCACGGTGAGTGTTTAGCGAGGCGTCAGTGAGAAGCAGCTTTGGCATGTTTAACTTTTTAGATGGCTGCGACCTTAGCATAGATTTTTTCGAAGCGTGGAAATTACATTGTCAAAAGGTGTTAATAAGCCGAAAGGGTTAACTGTTTCCAGTTTACTATGTATTAGGTTGAAGGAATCCTTCCACGGAAAAACATCGCCTCCATTCCCCAAAGAAAAACGATACCTTAGGCCCCTTGCCTCATGAAGATAGCAAAAAGAACGGAACATAAGCGATGGTTTTGATAATAATTATGATAACCAGTTCGACTATGAAAATTTTGAATTCCCGCTGTAAAACTTCCACAACTGTTAGCGGCGTGGAGTCAACACGTGCAAACGTGTCGAAAAGCGCGAGGACCTTACTTACACGTGGATCCGCACCTGCCATGCACTCTGTCACAAAAGCACTTCCGGTCCGCCCACTGGTCCAATCCGGTCCTACAGCCTTTCCAGGTGCTGTTTCTCTTGGGGGTTTCATCATTTTCGCTCCGAACTTTGCACATGGTCTTCAATGACCATGCCCAACACCTGTACACAAGGAAGAATGGCCAGTCTTTCCGTGGAAGATTCCTTTAAGCAATAATTATCTGCTATTTTCATTTCACTCATAAGTTTATTCAAAAAAAAAAAACAAACAAAAACAACAGTAAATGCGCAATCAACAAACGCTCTCGAACAGCCCTCCTACAAGCGTATTTACCTTCATCCCATGCTTCATTGGCTCTACGAGCAGATGCTTCGAGCTCAACTTGCACTCATATAGCTGGGGTCACCTTTCTTGCTGGTGTGGCTCCATAGTGAAAGTACTACACCAGTATTGGCACATCAAAAATGTCAAAAGAGGCGCTTTTCAGACTACTCATGATTTCAAAAAAATCAAAGAGCCATGAAGCCGGAAAAAAAAAGGAGCTCACTAATCGCTCAACCTAGTATATCGTGCCTTTGAAACTGGCTGTTTGTTTATCGTCAAGCTCGAAATATAGTGTGATATACCGTTTTTTTTCCTACCGTAGCCATCATGGTAGGCAGACTTTAATGTGACCAACATAGCTGAAAGACTCTTGACAACGTGAGTAGCGTGACCTATTGAAACGGGAGTTCGAGAGCGTTGCAAGCTGACGAGACAAATGTAGTCCTAGTCGTGCAAATATTGAACGGCAGAGCTTGCTGCTGCGGCAGAACCGAAATAGTATCGACTACGGATTCCACGTATTTGGGAGTTTTTTGTTGTTTCTGTACTCTAAAGAAAATGGAATGTTACCAGATGAGGAAATTCTTCCAACTTTTTGAAAAAAAAATGAAAATTTTGCAACGATTTTTTCGTAGGAAGCAGCAGAGCAGTAGATCGAGTTTCACAACTCCCTAGGTTCGCGTAGCTCCTAACGTAGAAGGAGGGCAGATAAACCGCAAGCTTGTAGAGCAAGTCAAATGTCGGCCTGGCATAATTCAAAGATCCCAGCAAAACAAACAAGAACAACAACAAGAAATTCCCAAAAAAATTTAAATTTCAAATTTAACAAGAAATTTCAAATGTTTAGGCATACCACGTGACGAAAACACCAACCACTCGTACCCCTTTTGAAAGAAAGGGGGGGGGGGGGGGGGGGGGGGGGGGGGGGGGGGGGGGCTGGGTAAGGCATTTGAGATCTAAACAAACGTCCTCAATGGAAAAAGGGGTATAGCATCGTGAGTTCATTACGGTAGCTCGCAAGCATCTCCACAAATATAGGTAAGAAAAAGTATGAAGCTACGGGCGCCGGAAAAGTGTCTCTCTAAAAGTTTGTCAACGGATTTTAAGCTCCATTTTCATCACGGTGGTTCTTTCGTGTGATTTGGCCTATAACTTGCGTGGGCCGATCTGATATTTTGTTGCGCTTCAGATTTCTATCCGTCCAGCCAGGGATGGTACCCATTATTCGGCCTCAGAGGAATGGAGGGATGGTATGGGTGAGATTCGATCGGATTTGACCGCCAGGTCGTGTGTGTAGCATGCAAAACCCCTGCATGAGCAAGTGAAAATTCGACTAATTTTGAAAGATTAATTTTCTAACGTCGAAACACCCAAATTTGAATATTCCGCAAATGCAACATCAGTAGCATTGCGAGATACTCACGGTCCGAGATAAA